GATTTCTTAATGACCAGGTCCTCAACCCCGCCGGCGAGTTCTACAATGACGTCAACGAAACATGGAAGCCAAACTAGATGGAGTGATTTTGTTATCCCAAGGATATGATAGAATATACAATGCAACATTTATTTGTATATATATATATATATACACACACACATACATACATATTATATGTACATAAAATAACGTACAATATATGTATATGCATGTAATATATACGTTAGTTTCATACTTTAGTTTGTACGAAATGTTTGAACATTATAAACGTGTTGAATACGTATATTATTAGTAGCGTAGAATGCGTATTCGAAAACCTATTCGAAAACCAAAACGAATCATCAATTGAAAATAGAAACAAAAAAAAAAAAAGGAAACCTTTAATCCCGGTTGGTAATACCAACTGGGACTAAAGGGCCACCCCACGTGGCCAGGCCGGGAGGCCCTTTAGTCCCGGGCGCGAAACCAGGACTAAAGGAGGAGACCTTTAGTCCCGATTTGGTACTCCCGGTTCCAAAACCGGGACTGAAGGCGGTTGAGAACCGGGAGTACAGCCCGTTTCTCCACTAGTGTCCCTAAACTTTAAAATGCATATTCGCATACATAAACGAGGCCCATGCTACGTCGCAGGTCCAAATAGGTCTAGGCTAGACACTTTTACTGACATAGCTCACTATAGGGGGCACTCTTCGATCTTACCCACAACGAGAGCAATTGTGCCGCCATCAGGTGTGGTCCATGTTGATGTCGCCCCTGGGTGCCATGGCCGTCGCGTGGCATTGCGACGCGAGAGGAAGGTACAGAGATGGCGCAGGAGCATGCAATGCTGGCTATGCATTGGCATGGAGGAAGAGGGTGTGAGGTCAGCCAGTCGTGTGGGCGTAGGTGATGGACGACGCGGTCATGAAGTCGAGGAAGAGACGATGAGGGAAGTGGAAGGCATAGAAGGTAATCACGGACGACTGCAATGCACGCATGAGGCGTGGCAATGGCGCTATCTGGTCTTGCTAGTGCCAGCGTGGACCACCATGTCATCAAACGGGTTAACTTGGACATGTTTGGACATGTGACATAGCACGAGCCTAGTTCATGTACGTGGATGTGCATTTTAAGAGTTTAGGGACCTAAACAACACATTCTGCCAAGTTTATTATTAGGGGTCGGTTTTGGCATCAAAGGTGCCAGCGTGGACCGCCATATCAGCAAATAGGTCTGGTCCGAACTCATTTGGACCTGTGATGTATCATGTGTCCAGTTTGGGGCATGGTCGCGTGGATGTGTACTTTATTAGGAGGTTAGGGACCAAATGACATCCTCTGCCGAGTTTAGGAACTATCGGTGTATTTTATATATAAAAAATAAAGAAAACAAAAGCATATCCGGACGGTCACATCAGGGATTCACGGCCGGGCGTGGAGACAAAAAGGAGCCGGGCGGGCGAATTATTGGACGACGGGATAAGATAAATAAAGGCCGGCCAGGAAAGGGGCGCGGCGACGTAACGTACGTAGCCGTCGCCGACCTGATTTTTTCAGAGAACGATGCATGTCGGCAGCCACTTGAGGTGTCAGCGTCGATGCGGACGACGATGGAGCTTGCACTTGCAGTGGCAGGCAAGTCCATGCATGGAAGATGGAGCTGCCTTGCAGTACTGTCCAAATTTGCAGTTAGGTACTTAAGGTACTGGCGATGGTGGTAAAACACAACGATGTGTGATCTGGTTAGGCTAGGCTAGTCAGCGGAGGTTTTGTGTGCTGTTCATTATTCAGAATAGCTAGATTCCCCTGGGTTTTAGTATTTCGTTTTCTTGTATTCATTCACACCTAACATAATCGTATTCCCTTTTTTTTTTTTTTTTTTGAGAATCCCCTTTCTTTCTCTTCCTGTGGGTATCTTGGAAGGATCTCTCTCTTTTTGTTTCAAAATAAAAAGGCCGGCCTTGCTTGTGAGTTGGGCTGCTCGCTAGTTAAGGAGGCCTATCGTGCTGCGCCTCTTCTGGGCCAGTCGCGTCACTAGAGCTGTCTGGGCCTCGATCCAACTACGGCTGGACCTCAATTTTTCTTATTGAATTTCATCTGTTTATATTCTTTTTTTTTAATTTAGCAGAAATATACGCTGCCGATTAGCCAATATGGCTTCCTGTCATGATCGTCTCCCACTCATATGGCGATCCGTATAAATTTCAGTTCGAGTGGCAGATTTATATATCCTTCCGTGATCGATGCGTCGCAAGAAAGACCATAACTTTTTCACATGTGCTTGGATGAAGATAAAGTATTTTTTTTTAAACGGTGAGACTGACATGTCTATAGTAGTCCATACACTTAATAGAAAAGAACATCTATGACATAAAATTAGAACCTTATGAAAATATATTATATGGTAAATCTAATGATACTAATTTGATACTATAAATCTTAACGGTTTTTTCTAGAAATTCGATCAAAGTTTAAAAAAGTTTGGCTGAAGACAATTCTATGAATCTATTTATTCAGAGACAGAGAGAGTATGATGTTTGCAATATACTATTGGTAACTGTCACTATTATATGAATTTTAATGAAGTAGCTAGTCACAATTAGCATGGAAGCACATACTTCAAATTTTTTAAGGAAATGCTAGGGTCAGGGCGTCTGATCGTCCCGATGCTCCACCCACTCTCTGTGCCACCGCTGCTGCGCCCACTAGCCCTCTCGCCACCGCCGCCCATGCCCCCACCCCGCCCTTTGTGCACCGCCGCCCAACTCCATGTTGCCGGCGAGCTCTGCGACGCCGACGAACACAACGGTGACCTTCATGCGCCACCCGCCTGCTCTTTGCACCATCGCTGCCCATGCCACCCCCACCCTGCCCTCTGTGTGCCACCACCCAGCTCTGCATTGCTGGTGAGCCCGCGGCGCCGACGAGCACACCAGTGACCGCCACGCGCCACCCACCCACCCTCTACGCCACTGGCGCCCGTGCCGTCCCCACCCCACCTCTGTGTGCCGCCGCCCAGCTCCACGTTGCCGGTGAGCACACCAGTGACCTTTACACGCCGATGTGCCTCCATTTGCCGAAGCAGCAAGGAGATATTTGCGCTGAAAGCTCATGTTGCAACAACATATGTTTCAGGTATTTCAGAGGTGCGTTGCAAGTGTTTTATATCAATGTTGCAAAAGTAGATTGGGATATTGAAAAAGTAGATCGGGATATTGCACATGTTGTAATGGCTATGTACGAATGTTTCAAGTGTATGCCCCAAATGTTTTATCTGTATCAGATGTATGTTGCAAGTGTTTTATCTGGATATTGCAAATACATGCATATTTCAAGCATATGTTTCAAGTGTTTTAGATATTTCATACGTATGTTGCAAGTGTTTCATCTTGGATGCTGCATATGTTTGCAATGGTTTTTAAGTGTTTCAGATGTATGTTGCAATTGTTTCGGCAATTTTGAATGTATGTTGCAAGTATCTTATCTGTATGTTTCAAAAGTAGATCGGTGTTGCACATGTTGCAATTGGACCCACCTGCCGCAGCTACCTGCTGCAGCTGCTAGGGCGCCGCCGAGCGGGTGCAGACAGGCGCGTGAGAAACCGAGCGAGAGCGTGAGAAACGTAGGGGCGCGAACGGTCCCCGCGCTCGGTCTGGCAGCGTGGGTGAGATTCGAGCGGCGTGGGCCCAGTGCTGGGGCGCCGCTGAAGGGGCGCAGACAGCTATGTGAGAAACCGAGCGCAGGCGTGGTGGCCCATGCGGTGGGGCGCGCTAAAAATAGGTGGCGCACGCTCTGTTTCTCTTGCGCGCATGGCACCGTCCGACGCTAGCGCTCTGGATCGAACGTCTGAGCGCTAGCAAGTCCCATTTTTTATGTGAAATTCAAGCAACAAAATTTTTTACCATCTGAACCGTGCTCATTAAGACTTTATTATATGACGTCTTGCCCATGCTACGCTTAAGATAGTTTTTACTCCTGCGGGAATTAAGAATCTCTTGGAATTCCCATCCCATCATAAGTCAGTAGATGGATGGAGAAGTCCTTCAACAGCCTTTGGCCATCCTATGAACAAGTCAGATATATAATAAACAAAATCTCATGTAGAATTAAAATAATTTATATTCTAAAAGTACATAGGACTATACAACAACATTTCTGCCCACCATATTGAGTTATTTATTACTCCACGCGCGCACCAACATGTGTATGCTCATACCAAATGAAGTTGTCACTATCTCCACATAAGAGTATGACTAAATAGGAAACTATATATATGAAGTGGGATGTGTTTTGTGCAACATGTGAAGGTAAAACTATATAAACTAGAAGGATAGCCCACATGTTGCCACTAGACTTATTTAGAGATAAAACCGTACCGTCTTATGTATGAGTTAAACCTACATGTTTTTACGTCCATTCTTATCAAAATCGTGCAATGCAATCAAAGAATCCAATAAAAAGCTAATAGAATTAGATCAAATTATAAGGTGATGCAATCACAAAACAAAAAAGCATATATATATGCATGCTTGAATAGCTTGCATAAAGAGGTTGAAAGTTAGTACGATCAGGATGGCATGGTTATTAGTGAGAGATGATGTGGATGACTTGCATGTTGAAACAGAACTTGTAATGGAGATATCTGATACTCACGTAAAATATATCTGGAGGCAAATTTGAGTGTCAATATAATGGCTTTTTCCTGGGGCCACATGTCTGCTGGACAGCTCATTTGCCACCCAAATACAAAGAAAACTGCAGCCGGGCCTATTTACTCCTGTCTCTCCTATTCTCACGGTAAACGCGTGGTTTCAAAGGCGTGTGTTAGTTACAGGTTAATGGCTGCCGTTGCCTCATGCTTTCCAAGAAAAATCCAAGAGCAGCATGCCCTCCCACCTCCCGCCAAATGCGGCCAATTGCAGACTTTCCCTCCGGATTCAAATATATCCCTCCTCTCGTTTTCAACCTCCCGTCCAAACTTTTGGCCACCACCTCTCCACCCTCCTTCCAAGGGCCACCATGAGGGCGCCTCTCCTCTCCTTCATCCTCGTCCTGGCTGTCGTCGCCACCGTGCCCCTGGTCCCAGCGGTGGTGTGCATCTCGCGGTACGAGAAGTACGAGAGCAAAGTTGAAGAAGCAGGCGGATATGGACCACCGGAGAAGGCTACCGAGAAGCCCATGGAGCAGACCATGGACGCGCGAGCCACACCAGCGATGACCGCCAACACCTACGACCAGAAGAAACCCATTGAAGATGCTGACATGGACACGGCCTCCACTACGAAGGTAAAGAAAGAGAAATCTGATGATTCGGATGAATCTGCTCCTAGGAAGGTAAAGAAGGCAAAGAAGGAGAAGTCTGATGCGTCTGTAGATAAGAAGGAAAAGCAGAAATCTGATTACTTGGACGAATCTGTATCTTCCACGAAGGAAAAGAAGGAGAAATCTGATGGTTCTGGTGCATCTTCATCTTCTAAGAAGTCTGAAGAAGAACCATCTCTCAGTAAGAAGGAAAAGAAGAAGTCTGGTGGTTCAGACAAACATGCATCTGGAAAGAAAGAAAAGCAGGGCAAGTCGGATGATTTGGACAATACATCTCCCAAGAAAGAAAAGAAGGAGAAATCCATCGATTCGGATGCATCTGCATATCTTAAGAAGGAGGAGAAGAAATCTGGCGCGGACGAAGCCACGTCTCTTAAAAAGGAAAAGAAGGAGAAGAAGGAGGAGGAGAAGAAATCTAGTGATTATTTCGAGAAGGAAAACAAAGAGAAATCCGAGAAGGACTCCACGCCCGTTGACGCCTCCGCTGATGACAGCGACGCATATGTATCGAAAAGTGTCTGAACATAATGATTATTATGTTGCAAAGACTAAGTGGTTATCGTAAATGAGATATTTTATGCAGCTGACGTGATCAGTGGATATCAGAGGTGATGGGAGGATTGGAGAAACGCTGGAATCATGAGCATGTAAGCTAGGAGGTCGGTGAAATAAGACGGAGCGCTTTGCTATGTAATTGAATACCTCATGCACTCACTTTTTTTTTGAGATTCTCATGTACTCACTTTAAATCATATATATAAATAAAAAAAGTGACTAATAGATACGAAGAGGATTGGTTATGCGGTCCGATGTTGGTTTTGGACATGGACATCCCGACTTTTTTTTTTGTTGCGACAATGAGCTTCTATTGATTATGAAGCAACATGATCACAATCTTCAGTCAGCATATGGACGATACATGTTGGGGCTAATTGCCACTCACCCAACGTGTTGTCCTCTGAGACTAGCTTAGCTAAACCATGAGCTACATGATTACAAGATCTATTGGAATACATCAGAGAAAAATACAGAAAAACAGTACTAAGCTCTCTAATTTCTCTAATGATCGGTACAATAAAAAAACACGCCAGCCTAACATCACATCTTTTCGTAGCAAGCCAGGGCATGGGCCAATTTTACATGGACCAGGCTAGGCCCAAGTAAGCCATGAGTGTCAGTTAATTTGATCGTTTGCGTCAACAGCTTATATAGATTTTGTTCCCACCGATACAATTTGCTATGTACTTGTTCATGGAAGATTCGCCATGTTAATTCGCAAAAGAAAAATAATTCACTGTGACATCAGCCACGATGAAATTTCTACGCGAGCGGAGATCCAAAGCAGAAAAAGAAGCCATTACGCCGTACAAGCACACATTTCAAATTACGAGAGGATTAAATCCATCCGATCCTTCCTCTTTTTTTTCAATGGGCTTTCTAGCGCCCGTCCGCGTGCCTGCGCCTACAGTCCGTTTCCTGCGCCGTTTTGTGCGCCCAGTCCGTTTCCTGCGCTGCTTCGCACGCCCACGCGGGGCCCACGCCGCCACGAACATCACCAACATCGAGAAGAGGGGAGGGGCCGGCGGATGCCCAGTCGGCGCCTGGAGGACGAGGAGACACCAAGGCGAGACATCAGAAGGTGAGGAGGCAGATGCAACATCTGGTCTACTACTAAAGCATCTAGATGCAACACTTACACCATAGAAAAGAAGATAGATGAAACACTTGAAACATGCTTCTGAAACACTTGCAAAAACATCTGAAAAACACTTGAAAACCATTGCAAATGTACACAATATCCAGATAAAATACTTGCAACATATGTGTGGAACGTATGCAACATCCAGATAAAATACTTGCAACATACGTTCGATAACACAGATGAAACATTGGGAACAGACCTTTGCAACATCGCTAATGCTCCATTGCGGGCGTCCATTCCACAGTCATCCGTGCGGACGCTACTAGCTAGGCTAGGCCTATGGACTGGCCCACAGGCCTACTTCCTCATTTGGCATACACGGTTTTCTCCCAAAAAACAGAGAGAGCGACATTTTCCCCATCTCGCATTGGCTCCACCGCCACCGCACCGCCTGCCCTTCACTCGCCATCTCCGTGGCTGGGACCACTCGCTGCAGGCAGTAAACCCGCGCGATCGAAGCGCTACCTACCCTTGCAACATCCAGATAAAACATCTGCAATATATGTGTGAAACATACGCAACATTCAGAAGAACACACTTGCAACATATGTCCGAAAAATATAGATGAAACATTAGGAACAGACGTTTGCAACATAAGTGTACAACCATTACAACATTTGCAATACATCCCAATGTACTTTTGCAACACCCATACGAAACTCTTGCAACATACTTTTGAAACAATTGAAACACTTGAAACATGCGCTTTTAGAGTTTTAGTGCAATGTCACTTTGCTGCTTGGACAAATGGAGCTCATCGTTGTGGAGCTCGCCTCAGCGCGAAGCTCGATGCCACAGAGTATGCGAAGGTCACTGGTACGGAGCTCGTCGGTGGCACGGACCTCGGCAGTGGCCGCGGTAGTAAGATGGGAGGCGCGAGTCTAGGTGGGGGAGGCATGCGGTGTGGGCGAGCAGCACAGGCCGGGGCAGCGCCGGTGGAGTCCGTCCCACGAGCCGCGAGCGCGAGCAGGAGCAGTGCTAGCGAGCGGACGTCCCGCGAGCGGGGGCGGCACCGGCGAGCGGTCATCCCCGTCCGATGAGCAGGGGGCACCGCGGGGCGAGGGCGGCGTAGGCGGAGTCTGTCCGACGAGCGGGTGCTGGCGCTGGCGAGCGGAGTCTGTCTCGCTCTAGCGGGGCACGCAGCGCAGCCGCGTTCGGACAGGAGTCATGGGACGGATGCCCGTAACATATCATTATCAATTTACATATAGCAACCAGATTAATCACACTAGTGGTTTTATTATAACATAATTTAGGCCATGTTTGGTAGGGCACCTCCCTATCCTCAACTTAGGCTCCTCTAGAGAAACGATACCAAACGCTTTATAGGAGGAGCCATTTTCAGTGAAAAAAAGAGGAGCCAAAGCCGTTTTGAAAACCTCAGGAGGAGCCCTATCAAACACCCCCTTAATATGTCAAATTTGGCTATATCTGATCCTCACGTAAAATATATATCTAGAGCCAAATTTTAGTGTCAACAACATGCCTTTTTACTGGTGCCACATGTCTGCTGGACAGCTCATTTGCCACCCAAACAGAAAAACTGCAACCGGGCCTATTTCCTGTCGTACATTTCCTTCCTCGCCTCCTGTCTCTCCTATTCTGACGGTAAATGTGTGATCCCAAAGGCGTCTGTTAGTTACAGGTTTATGGCTGCCGTTGCCCCATGGTTTCCCGGGAAAATCCAAGAGCTGCATGCCCTCCCATCTCCCGCCAAATGTGGTCAGTCGCTGCCTTTCCCTCCGGATTCAAATATCCCTCGTCTCGCTTCCGACCTCTCGTCCAATCTTTTGGCCACCACCGTTTGCACCCTCCTTCCAAGGGCCACGATGAGGGCGCCTCTCCTCTCCTTCGTCCTCCTCTTGGCCGTCGTCGCCACCGTGCCCCTGGTCCCGGCAGTGAGCAAGGGTGAAGAAGCTGGTACCGCCGCTGAGGAAAATGGAGGCTCTATTAAGCCCCTGTCCCTCGACGGATATGGACCACTGGAGAAGGCTGCCAAGAAGCCCAAGGAGCAGATCTTGGATGCGCAAGCTACTCCGAAGATGATCCTCGACACCTATGATCAGAAACCCATTGAAGAACAAGCTGAAACGGCCACGGCATCCACTGCTCAACCCGACAAATATGTGGCGTATCTAGTTCCTGACGAGAAGGAGGAGGAAGCTCCTGCGAAGGTAAAGAAGGAGAAATCTGATGAGTCGGCGGATGAATCTGCTTATCATAAGAAAGAAAAGAAGGTAAAGAAGGAAAAGAAGAAGTCAGATTATTTGGATGATGAATCCACATCATCCAAGAAGGAAAAGAAGGAGAAATCTGATGATTATGATGTATCCACATCTTCCAAGAAGAAGAAGAAGGCGAAGACTGACGATTCTGACGAAGATGCATCTCTTCATAAGAAGGAAAAGAAGGAGAAGTCTGCATCTGGCAAGAAACACAAGAAGGATAAGTCTGATGATGATTCGGACAGTACATCTCCCAAGAAAGAAAAGCAGGAGAAATCTGTCGATTCAGATGCATCTGCATATTTCAACAAGGAAGAGAAGAAATCCGGCGATTCGGAGGAAGCCACGTCTCTGAAAAAACAAAAGAAAGAGAAGAAGAAGAAAAGGAAGGAAAAATCCGAGAACTCGGAGGAGGACGCTGCGCCCGTCGACGTCTCCACGGGCGGCCAATATTTGTTGTCTCCCAAGGAGGAGAAATCCAGCGAGGACGCCATGCCGGTCGACGTCTCCACCACCACCGGCCAATATGTATCTTCTTCGAAGGCCGACGTCAAGCCCAAGGGAGGTGAGCGTCAGATCTCCACCAATGCGGATGCGTACGCATCCCCAAAGCAGGACACCAGTAGCCAGCCCAAGGGTGGCGCTTCCGACGAGCTTCCGCCGGCCGCCAAGAGCTCCTCCACGGATGCATACGCATCTCCAAAGCAGGAGGTCGTCAGCAGCAGCCAGCCCATGACCGGTGGTTCTCCCGACGAGCTTCCGCCGGCGGCCAAGAGCTCCGCCACCCCCGACCCGTACTTATCTTCAAAGCAGCAGGTCGTCAGCAGCCAGCTCATGGCCGGTGGGTCTCCCGACGAGCTTCCGCCGCAGGCCAAGAGCTCCGCCACCCCTGACCCGTACGCGAACGTGCCCAACGAGCCGGCAGCGGGGAAGCCGAAGCTGTCGATGGAGACGTTCTCGGGGATGATCAAGAGGCCGATCGCCAATATCCTGAGCCCGGTGATCAAGGGCGTGTGCGCCAAGACGGAGTACCCGGAGGACTGCGAGTCCTCCATCGGCGGCCTACCCGGGGCCGCGTCGGCGGCGGCGACGGACAGCGTGGGCGTGCTGAAGCTGGCCATGGAGGCGGTGCGGCAGAAGGTGATCGTGGCGATGAACGCGGCGACGGACCGGATGAACGTGCCGGGGACGGACGCCACGACCAAGGACGCGCTCGACTCGTGCACGTCGTCGTACAGCGACATCAAGACGAGCCTGGACTCGGTGGACGACGCGCTCAAGCGCGGCGACGTCGACACGGCGCACACCAACCTAGACTCAGTGGAGACGGACATCACCACCTGCGACGACGGATTCCAGGAGCACGGCATCCCGTCGGTCATGACCGACCATGACCAGGAGCTCCAGAAGCTCGCCAGCAACCTCCTCTCCATCGGCGCAGCCATCCATCACTAGAAGGGAGAATGGAGAAGGGAGGAGTGGCCGTGCAGGCGTGCACACACGCGTGCATGCATGCATTTGTGTTTTCATCTGAAGAATTCGGTTGTAAATTTGTAAACGAGGAAGAAAAGCACCTCGATTAACCTGTAGCTGCT